AAACAAGAGTTTCCTTTCTTCCCTGTAGAAGCCAGGGAGTCCTACGTCCTACAAAGACTGAGGAGGGGCCTGCAGATCCCAGTAGAGGGGTGCCAAGAGAAGGGCCACTGTCAGTCACCTTCCCATCATTTCATGAGGATTCTCTGAGCATCTGCTGGAAGGTGGGGTGTTCTGCCCCCAGGCTCCAGACCAACAGCCTGTGCTAGCAACCAGGGCCCCTGGGTAGGAAGACAGTGCTGATGGGAAGGAGGAGGGTCACGAAATTAGAAAGCACCCCATAAACCATGATGGCCCAGGCTCTGGTCTGGGTGGCGGACTGTGAGGGAAGCTGTGCGCGTTACTGAAGAGTAGAGTTAAGACAGCAGGTGAGCCCCTCAGCAGGGTTGTGCTGCGTCGTCACCTCTGTCACCTCTCTGGGCCCAGCCGCTAGACTACGCTCCTGGAGGGCAGGGCAGGGCTGAGTGTGTCTCCGTGTCCCCAAGGCACTGGACACTCAATAAACACGGCAGACTAGTGAGTAGGTGATGTGATTGGACTGCTCTGTACTGACCCCTGGACAGGCTGGCTTTTGCCCTAATTCTCAAGCCCAGGCCTCTGCGCCCACTTTTGAATATTTACTCCCTGATGGCGTGTGCTCCGGGAAGGGTGCTGAGAGGAGGGAGGACAGTTCCCTCTTACTTTCCCTGTTCCTGAGAAAGCACGCCTGCTGGTGGCTGTCATCCTGAGCTGCCAGGAGCAAGTGGGGATAAGGGGCAGGTAACCCCGTCCCACTCTGTGAGTTCCAGGCTCCCTCCTGGATCTCGCCTCTGCACCAGGCACACACCAGATTTTGCCTTGTCTCCTTAAATAAGAACTCTCGGGAACAGCAGTTAGCGTAATGGCTATGTCACTGGACTCCCAGATAGTAGACCAAGGTTCGAATCCCAGACCCGGTGGCTTAAACTCACGCTGGGCGCGTGTGCGTGCGTACCTAGGATCCCAAGAGGAGAACGGAGGAGAAGGGACTGTGGTGTGGCCATCCCCCTGGGGGTGATTTCTCACTTTCTGTCTCTCTGTCTCTCTCTGTCTTTCTGGCAAGTGCATGTACCCTATAGCAAAAACCTTTGGTGAAGTGTGTGTACCCCAAAAAAAAAAACCAAAAAAAAAAAAAAAAAAAAAAAAAGAACTCTCAGTAGAAGTTAATAGCCTGAGGCCCCTGGCCTTTCAGCCTCACCTGCCCCTTCTTTTTCTTGAGTGCCCCTGTTGGCCTCCAGGTGTAAACTGGTGCATACAGACCAGTCCGGTGACTCTCTGTCGGGCGTTCTGGGGAACCTGTGTCACGAGGCCGATCTTGTCCTGGCGGGGAGCTGCAGCATGCCTAGGCGAGTGAGGTTCTGGCCCCAAGATAAGAAGCCAGGGTGCCCCAGCAGAAATGTGTAAGAAAGGCTTAGATAATCTTGGCTGGTGCTCCAGGCTGAGCTTATGAAACAGGGACGCCAACAACCTCTTCCACAGGTGCCTACAGGCTCCTCCTGGCAGCTCCCCAGAGCTCTGTCTGACAGTTGAAGGTGAGTACAAGGCAGTGGGCTTTTCAGAGGGAGGGAGACTCTTCCAATAGAGGAGCATTTTGTGACCCCACCTCTTGCCCAGCTTGGGATGCCCGCTCTGAGATGGTTCCATGACTGCATCTAACTCCCTGTCTGGTTACCACCCAGCTATAGAGAAGGCTCCCATGCCTTTCTCTCATAAAGTTAGCAGCCAAAATGATGCAATGGTTTGAGGATGACCAGAGCACTGAGCTGTCTGGGGACCCATCTTTGCTGAGTTTCTGAGGAAATTCAGGTCCGGGACAGGCCCCAACCTGTTCCTCCAGCACCGGACAACTAGGAGAGTTCAAGCCTTGTTTCCATAAGGGTGAGGAGAAACAGCGTGTTCTTGTCAGAGAGGACTCCGCTCAGAAATATCTACAAATTGCTCTGCCCCATGTGAGTCCCAGACTTCCTCTGGCTCACCCGGGAGAAGACTGGCATTAACTAGCCTGCGGGGATACCTGCAAGAACCTGCAGCCCTGCTGATCCCCTCTGCAAGGGTTCCCCATGCTTTGGGGGTCTCTGCTCCAGAGGTGGTGGCAGGATAGAGGGGGCTTTCTTGCCTCACGTGCAGCACTTACTATTCGGGCCGCTGCTAACTTGGCAGAGTCAAAAGGTGTCTTGGGCAGCCAGGGAGTAGGGGCGGCCTTGCGGTCCTCACTGGGAGTCTGGAAGTCTGTTTAGGTGCACACCCACAACATCAAGGCCATGTTTATTTTAGTTTAGTTTTAGTTTTGCTATAGAGCATGTGTGCTCACCAGAGAGACAGAGGGAGGGAAAATGAGAAATCACCCCCCAGGAGGTGTGGTTACACCTCAATCTCTTCTGCTCCATCCTCCTCTCAGGATTTGTGGCACATGTGCACACGTGCTTGGTATGATTTTCAACCAGCTGGATCTAGGACTTGAACAGCAAAGTAAGACACGTGAGATCCAGCTGCCTTAACCTGTATACTACCTATTGGTCAGTGTTTACTTTTTGTTAATGAAAGAGAGAACGAGGGAGATAGTAGATCCTTTTGACAGGGTGTCCCTGTTGATATTCTCCTGCCCTAGCCTCCCAGTTAGCTAGGACCACAGGCACTCCATACTGCGCCTGTCCAGGTTTGGCCTGAATCAGAACTTGGGCTTCCCGTGTGGCCCTACCCTCTTATAGTGGCACCCTACTGTCTGTGCCACTGCAG